TAATGGCTGAAATGATGATGACGAATTATGATATCAAATACAAGTAATATCTTTTTTTTTCAAGTTTGGAAATATTATTTTCATTAATTTATTTTTTATTTTTTGGACTAACAAAACCTCAGTTTGTCAAATTTAAATTTAAGCATTTTGAACAGTCATTCTTTCATGTTTTACCGCCCATTCGGTATACATTTTCAATTGAGAAGAACGGGGTCTTGGCTGCAAAAAGATGGTAGGTGAGAATGTGAAGGCAGGGACAATCAGCCTATCGTGATGAATACACCTGGAATTCAACACGATGGCATACATGGGGGACCACGTGGAGATTAACCTGTTAAGGTATATTACTGGCAATGGGATTGGTAGCCCCTATTACTAACAATCCCTCCCCCCCCCCCTGGTACAATGTCTTTGGTCCCGAACGGTCATATAATATTTGTCTGTTTATGTCCTTTGGAAGACTGGGCCTCTAGAAAAATGGTAAACGAATTCGTCGATGGAATCAACATCGCTGGCGAGCCCGTAAGAAAGATTTTTTTATACAACTTAGAATGGCAAACAAGCTGACGGCCCACCTGATGGAAAGTGGTAACCGTCGCCTATAGATATGAGCAGTACCGTGGACATAACAAAGTATACTGTTTCGCCCATGATACACCCCATGCGTTGCCATTCCTGAGGACACAGGTGTTATTCCTCTGTACCCTGGAAATTCACGCCATATCCCACCCTTTAAACCGAAACATAGCCATGCAAACACAACTGCTTCACAGTAGAAACACGAATGGGCTAGAGGTACCTAAGCAATTGACTTTTGTACAAAGTCTCCCTCTAGAATGAGATAGCAATGCCGGATGACTCGTGGACTCGCTAGCCATGTCGATTCCATCGACGAATTCGCTTGCCACTTGTCTAGAGGGCCTGGTATAAAATAGTTAGACTGTGGTATACGTATAGTGTGGTAACAGCTCTCGGTACAATGGCTCGGTGACGAATGCGCGCCGCGTCCGGCGTGTCCGGCCATCTCTCATACCGCTCGGACGCCCGCATACAATCGCTTTATGCATTCCGAATCGTGGAGCTACACTAGTGGCGTATGATAATGTTTGTCTCGCTATAAATTTGTCTATGTCCGTCTGATGTGGATTTATACAACACTAGCACTCCGTCCAGGCTTCGCACGGGTAGATACAATAGATAGGAATATAAATTAGTATTTTATTTTAGTTTTAATTGACAATTTTTTTAAGACTTTCGGTTGCATTTTTATAATTTTCTTACGGATCTCAAATTTATTTAAAAAATATACAGCCTTAGATTTTATAAATGGAGTGTTTCCATACAAATGCATCGAAAAAAAACGGGTCAACTTTTTCATACAATTTTGCATGATAAATAGTTATGAGTGATTCCTTTATAATTTAAGCATTTTTTGCGTAAACACAAATTTTATTTATTAAATAATACGTCAAGATACATTTAATACGTAAGTATATATGTATGTAGAACATTGATTAAAAAACGAGTCAACTAATTTGACAATTAGCTGACAAAAAGTTGACCCGTTTTTAAGAGTCGAGGCTCTATCTATATAATCTACGTATATAGCCTATATTCTTTCCTATACTTCCTTTCCCATGGATGTCGTATGAGGTGACTAAGGGAGGGCGAGGTATGGGCAGTAGCGTCTCTCTTAAATCATCTCTAAAAGCCCAACTGCGGTTCCTAACCCGCCTGCCAAGCGTGGCAGGCACTGGCAAAACTCCCCTTACAGGAAAAGCTGATGTCCAGCAGCGGACAGATAATGGCTGAAATAATAATAAAATATAGCCTATATTAGTCGCTGGTAATACTGTTTTCTATAGGTGGAAGATGTTTTATAATTGACCAAGTAGTAAAGTATTAACGTATCCAATATTAAGATCTTTAAAATATTAATATAGACAATACTGGCTTAAATAAAAAAAAAAGTCTGTAAGAGATCGCCCTAGCGATAAGACCGCCTTTTGTACCTTTATGTGTATATTTCAATCTGTATTTATGTTACTGTATTTCACTTGAATTATTCAATTGTCATTTTATATTTTTGTTTATGGTGCAATAAATAAATAAATAATATGCTTTTAAGTGATCTATTAGTGAAACTAAAGACTTTCACCACAAAAAAATTAATTGAAAAACGAACAAAAATAATAGAAGCGTTCTTAACGAAGTAAGGTTGTACTTATGTCATTTAAAAAAAATTACATATGTAAAACCCTTTATATAATAAGTTATTTCATAGTGTTTGATATGACTTTCAAATCGATTTATTTAATTCGAATAATCGTAATTCTACTGTATATGCTTGTTAACAATACTAAAGATATCAGCTACTTAAATATTGAGTTCATTACAAAACAACTCTTCCGTGCCAACCCTGAGCGGGGACAAAGGCGCAGACATTCCATCACGAAACCATCACAATCCAGAGTAATGGCACAACAGAAACATTCGCATGCAAAAAAAATGATATAACGAACGCTAAACAGGAAACCTGTCCGCGACATCAAACTGTGCTGACAAAGCATTTTCCATTACCACTGAAAGCATACGCAACTTAAAAAAGCGCCTCCGGTGAGTGGCGGTCCCGAAGGGTCTGGGGGGTTGGGGGATGAGATGGAGGGGGGGAGAGGTCAGGAAGTGGCGGGCCGGAAACGGCGCCGGGCGGAAGCGCGCGAACCCTTTACGTCCTTTGTTTATGGAAGGCTCACCCAACTATTGCGCGGAACGGGAAGCCGTCCGCTCGACAGCGACACTGACTGCTCAAGAAGTTCCCCTTTGTGGTCCCGAAACGGTGGCTCTCCTTAGAAAATATTCGAATAATTTTCCGTATTGATTTGTTTTCAATTAAAACTTAGCGAAAACTTAGCGGCGAATAGATTTTGTTGCCGAATTGTTAAATAAAGTTCGTACTTAATATATAGAGAAGGCATATTATCTGACATCAGATAATGATATACTTCTAAAGCAAATATATATATATATATATATATATATATATATATATATATATATATATATATATATATATATATATATATATATATATATATATATATATATTTAATAAAATAATATTCTTTAAATAAATAGTTGTATTGACCTACTAGAAACATAATATCTCACAATGAGATAATAGCCTATAACATCTGTAAAATTATAAACAGCTGCAGTGACCAGGTCGATATTAATTTTGATACTCCAATTGTTTTTGTACGAAATATCTATAAATATATAAAATGAGTCGTGCTGCTTATGGATATGGTGGCTTTAGTTGTTAGTTGTTAAGCATTTAATAATAGATGTAAGCTATATATATATTTCTCTGTACTTATTGTTATACATGTATCAATATATGCTGTGTTTGCCTATAAACAATTGTTACACTTAGTTCTAAGCTCCATAATTGTATATATATTTACATTATTTTGTGAAAACAATTGTTGGTAAACCTAAATAAATAAATAACAAAAATAAATAAACATTTATAAATTACTATCTATGATTAAAAAGTCGGATGTCTTACGCAAAACCAATCGTCGCTCCAGCTACTTCACCTACCAAAGAACGTCACAAATCATTCTGAAATCACAGATAGTCGCTACGACATAAGAAAAAATATAATATAACGAAAAATTTAACGGAACTTAATGGTCCAGAGATGGGTAGCAGTGTTCTTATCACAAAAGGCTAATTGGGGTTGCCAACTCAATAGTGGGCAGTAAGACAATGACGATATCGCACGATTGTAATGTTTTATTAATCGTTTGTATTACGCAAATTTGTGAATTATTTTAGGAAAATAATAAAAGGCTTATTCGCTTCAACTCGGAATTAGCGCCTCAAAATTAATACTGTCTGAAAAGAAACGCCGACAGCAAGTCGACCGTGTAACTTCTTTTAAAACCATTTATCTTTTTAATAACTTTTTAAGCGACTTTAAAATGGAGGCAGTTCTCAATTCGTCTGCATTTTTTGTGTCTTCGTTATGCCCAATTTTGAACTGTTTTTTTTTTTATGAAAGGCTCTAAAGTACCCGTAACAACCCGTAACGTGTATGAATAGATTGATAAATGTGGAGGAAGCGAAAGAAATCTGTTTGAATTGGAGTATTTGGCGTTTCATTACTTCTGCCCACCCAAATGGGAGACAGGTGTGATAGATATGTATGTTCCTCGAATGACCTCGGTCTCATGATCATGATAGGAAGTGATTGAAATTGAAGATAGATTTTGTAAACTCATAAACAGTCTACTACTATTACTAAGGGCTACATGGTCAAAGTGGACGCAGAGGCAAAAAAAAAAAGAGAAAGAGAGAGAGAGAGAGAGAGAGAGAGAGAGAGAGAGAGAGAGAGAGAGAGAGAGAGAGAGAGAGAGAGAGAGAGAGAGAGAAGAATAGAAATGAGAGAGAGAGAAAGAGGGAATGTTCCTATCGTTTGCTGTACGTATGATGTAGAAAAGAGAAAACAATATACATTATAAAAAGTTTTGTAAGAAGAAATTGAAAATAGGACTAAATCGTAGAACTGTATCGATATAATCTTTCCTACATCCAATTGTGTCTCATATAGGGCGAAACCTTCAATATTAAGATACTTAATAGTACACTATAGAGAATAATATATATAGAATAGTAGGCAGTAGAACAAAACGGACAAAAAAGTCCGTTTTGTTCTACTGCCTATAATGTGATAGGACTAAATCGTAGAACTAAATGGATATAATCTTTCCTACATCCAATTTTGTCTTAGATAGGGCGAAAAAGTACTTAATAGTAGTAGAAGTAAACGGACAAAAAAATACGTTTAGTTCTACTGCCTGTAATGTGATAGGACTAAATCGTAGAACTATATGAATATAATGTTTCCCACATGCAATTTGGTCTCAAATAGGGCAAAAGCTTTAATATCAAAGTACTTAATCCCTATACGTACAAAACAATGAAGTGTTCGTTACCTTTATAAATCTTTTGGCCTTTGTTAATAATCCTAATGTGGTGTGTCGTGGTGCTTCGGGGCCTAGTGGTACCATGTCCTTTAATTTTTCCAAGCAGCTTCTAAGGTGTGCTCTCCTGCAACAAACAGACGAAACATTTTAATTGTGAAATTAAATCGTAATATGAATCGTATTTATTTTTACAATTCAGAATGGAAAAACAGCTGATGCTTTCTAAATTAAAAAAGATGGCGGTCCTAAACTAATTTTGTAAAATTCCTTTATTTAACCTTAAAATATCTGTAGATTATAATTTTTTAAGTTAAATGATATTGAACTCCGTATTAAAACCTATTATTACATGTATTGCATTTCCATATTTAGAAATAACAGGATCTTCATCATGCCTCCAATCAAACTGTTTATAATTACTCCTCTCCATCCAAAGGTTGCCTGGAAGAGATCGCTTTTAGCGATAAGGTCGCCCATTGTTTTCTCATTGTGATTATTTCTTGTAATTGTTTATATCTAGAATAAGATTACTATTGTAATCTTTTAGAGGAAACAAAGAGTATCTATCTATCTATCTATCTAAAACCCGTATATAATATGTGCTCCAGAAAAAACATCCAGGTGTGGAGAGCAATTTTCAAAAAGAAGGTTGTTCCCAATTCGATTATATTCTTTTTTATGTTTGTTACCTCATAACTACAACATTTTTTTTTTTTTTAATTTAAAAGAATTTTTTCTATAAAGATTGGTTCTATGGAAGTTCTATTTAGTTTAGTTTTTAAATTAAAATAACTGGTAATGCCACAATTGAAGTCAGTTTTTCATAGTGGAACACAATCTTATTATGTTTTATATTATCTAAAGATATTATGTATATATATATATATATATATATATATATATATATATATATATATATATATATATATATATATATATATATATAATGTACATACGACACGAATAAATAAAGGTATTGTCCGGCCGGATGCCATTTGTCTGGCTCGTGCCGAAGGTCGCCTCTATTTCTCTCAGCCTTCGGACCTAAATTGTGTTTCTTATTTATTTGTATGTTCTTCGCAAGAATTGGCTTGCTACTGCCGTCTAATTTTTTAGGTAAAACTAGTTTATTACAAGATGGAGAAAAGTAATTCATTACACGTCTACCGAAGGTCAGGATAACATAGATTATAAATTTATGTTTATTTTTTTGGTATTCAGAGATATTCTTGACAAATTTTTTTTCGGTAAGTGACTACCGCCGCCCATGATCACCCACAACACCAACAGCATTGCAGGTGTGCTGCCGGCCTCTTAAAAAGGAATATAAACTAATATTGTAAACATCAACGCAGCACTAAGGGGTAAGAAACACGGGATTTTATTTATTAAAATCTCTATTTTGTTCTTTTTTTTTTATGACACTTAGAAAGGCAAATAAGCTGACGGCTCACCTGATGGAAAGTGATAATCGTCGCCTATAGACATCAGCAGTAATATGGATATAACAGAGTATACTGTTTCGACCATGATACCCCCCGTTATATTGCATTAAACAAAGTCAATTTCCGTCGTCTGTACGCTTAGGTCTTTTAAACTACGCAACGGATTTTATTGTAATTTTTATCAATAGATACGAGTGATCCAAGAGGAAGGTTTATATGTATAAATTAATAATCATCATCATCATTTCAGCCATTATCCGTCCACTGCTGGACATAGGCCTCCCCCATAGACTGCCATAAGGAACGGTCCTGAGCCACCTGCATCCACTGACTCTCTGCAATGCATTCGAGGTTGACGACCTACACTGCGTTTGCCCGTCCGGTTCGTCACACGAACCTTTTTCTTTTAATATTTTAATATTTATTATTTATTGTTTTATCCAGTCTAATATTGTTTTGTGTTAATTTGTTGAAACATGATAATAATTGTTCAAGATGTCGGAAGAAACCAAATCGACTGAGAGTTTTCATACAATTGTAATATCATTCGTTTAATGTACTACACAATGACACCACATTGTTTGTACGTTGCACCCATGCGAAGCCGGGGCGAGATGTTAGTAAAAATAAAAAGAAACATGCTGATGGACCATCTAATAGAAAATAAAAACCATTATCTATGTTAAAATGATTTGAATAATAAATAATAATAGAAAGGCACAGTAGAAGAAAAGTATGGAAATTAAAAAAAAATCAAAGCATAGATAATTCATAAGTTTAATATAATATTAATAATATAGCAATTTTGTGCTATTACTGATTGATAATTTGATTTGAGATTCAACTGCTATTATAAAGCACATGGGGAGTTTCCCATGGCTTATGCTGACAGGGAGGTAGTTGGGAAGAGTCAAGTTTTAGTTTATAGACCCCCGGGCAAGGCACAGTAGGGTCGGGCCCGGCGAGGCTTTATTTTTATGTAGTTTCGTATTTAATGCAGTCCCAGAAACGAAATTGTTACTGAGATATTTTGGGAATTGACTACTGAGAGGTATATTTCACTTGAATACTATAATAATATTAAGCCCGCTTTTTGTACCACATTTTATTGGTCAATAAAGTTTTAATAAATATAAATAACTGTGTTAGGTTGATTGGAAGAAATCTCTTTTAAGTTCGCCTTTGCTTATATATATATATATATGCAACGTTCAATGAATGTGATAACTATAAAAGGTGTGGTGTGTATAAAACTATAAAATACACTCAGGTTGTGGAATGAGCTCCCTGCCGAGATTTTCCCAAGAGACTACAGCATGGGGTTCTTCAAAAGAGGGGTAAAGAGGTTTCTTCAGGGTCGGCAACGCACGCGTAATACCTCTGGTATTGGAGGTGTTTTTAGGCTACGGTAACCACTTACCATCAGGTGGGCCGTATGCTTGTTTGCCACCTCAGTGGTATAAAAAAAAAGGTGAAATAGAAGTAATAGAAATCCTTTAAAATAAAGAAAAAGTTACATTTTTTCCTAGGAAACATTAATCGAAAAACAGCAAGTAAACTATCAACGTCGCATACTAAAACTGAGCGTGCAACTGGTATGTTGATATAGAAAGTTCTATTGATTTTTTCCTGTTATTCTTCGACGCTTCCACGCTGCCTTGAAAAAATAAAAAAAAATCTCAAAACTTTTAATAATTATCTTATTCATTTTCTATTTAAGCTGTACAATTTTTACTCTCGAACATTCTATGGATTTCTTTCAGCTTCTCAAAGGTTGACTGATCCTTCTACGGGATAAGTGCGCCATTGTATATTAAATCTTCTTAATATGTCCAATGTAAAATATGATTTACAGTACAAACAAGTACTTCCAGGAACCCTATTAAATAGCGTAACTGGAATAAACGACAATTCTTTAAGACTATAAATGACATAATTTTATTAAATGTTAAAAAAAGAATGTGCTGTCGCACTTTGGGAACCTCGCCGCCAGTATCCAATAGCGAGGGCGAGGTTGTCAGATATCAAAGCTACCAAAAAACTACTCAAAAAAAAAATACAATTCGTGTTTCTACCGTAAAGCAGTTGTGTTTGCATGGCTGTGTTTCGGTCTAAAGGGTGGGATATAGCGTGCATTTACAGGGTACAGAGGAATAACACCTGAGTCCTCAGGAATGGCAACGCATGGGGGGTATCATGGGCGAAACAGTACACTCTGTTATGTCCATGGTACGGCTCATGTCTATAGGCGACGGTTACTACTTTCCATCAGGTGGGCCGTCAGCTTGTTTGCCATTCTAAGTTGTATAAAAAAAAATCTTAATGAAAACATTTTAAGCAGTTTAAATTATTTTTCCTCGCGAATCACACGGCCCCCGTCCACGCCCTAAGTCCGTCCCTGTACACAGGTAGTGCTCGTAAATAACACAATCGGATTGTACTACATAGGCAGTAAATACGGCAGCCAGTATGCCCTGGCTATAATTTTGCCACTAAAACCATATTACATTAGGTGGAAGCGTTCTCCCGTTTCAGCACAAACGAAATGTACGCCACGCCGCAATTTGTGGCCGTTGTTACCCCTACCATTGGTTACTATTATCTCACTGACCACAATAAGCAATTTCAATAATATATACTTCTTTTTATTATTTCAGCCGTTAACTGTCCGCTGCTGAACTTAGGCCTCCCCCATTAGGGGAGTTTTGCCAGTAGTCGCCACGCTTGGCAGGCGGCTTGGCAACCGCAGGTGGGCTTTTAGAGATATTTTAAGAGGGACGCTGCTGCCCATCCCTCGTCCTCCTTTAGTCGACTCTTGGGTGTCGTACCCACGAGAAAGGAAGGGTTGGCCTATTCTAGGCCGGGTCCACACGGCGATATATAATATACATATATATACATAATATATAAGATATATTGTGTGGTTTCGATATATAACTAAACAAAGTTAAAATCATCATCAGTATTATTTTAAGGGAATATTCTACCTTAACAGATGTCCAAGAACCATGGTATAAGCTCTGCTTAGTTTAAAACTAGATGGCTCTGTTAAACGGCATTTAGTATTTAATTTCCTTGTTAAAAAAATTATGATTTATCTACTCAGATAGATCATAATTTTTTTTAACAATGACTACTCAGTCATCGTCATCATCATATCAGCCGTTCACTGTTTTTTTTAACGGATGATAATGGAATAGTAACCCCGCCCACGCTAACAGTATACACTGGCGAGGCACCAGTGAGGGATGAAAGCAGGTCAGTTGGCCCACAGTGATGAACTCATAAACAATCAAGATGGTTTCTAGGGGGAACCGCGTGGTCGACCTGGTAAGGTATATTGTTAGCAATGGAGCCTCTAGTCCCATCACTAACAATCTTTTTTCCCCACTGTTCACTGTTGAAAAAAGGCCTCCCATTTGGGCAACTTTGCTTAAGCAAATTAGCCTACCAATTGCCAATTTGTAAGCAGTTTGGCAACCGGAATTAGGCTTTTGTGATATTTTAAGAGGAACAACTAACACTATTATATATTCTTTACTGCACCTAAATAATACATACAACGATTAGTTTAACAACATGTTAGCAAGGGTGGGCTTATCTCTGAAAGAGATCTCTTCCAGCCAACCCAGTGTAGTTAGAGAGAAAATAATTTGGGTAATCCAGTACAAGAAAGGTA